CTTATCACAATCACAGTAAGAACGAGAGATACCACTACGACAACCAGTCTCACCGTTAACCAATATTCGTAGATTTTTGGCCCGAATTTTCCTCCTTTTCTGTTTACCATACAGCGGGGGATGACGTAACATTTTTTTTTGGGGGGGGGCAAAGAGGGCTCTCTGCTTTGTGCACTGTGATAACACCGTGCGACTTTTTATTTTAAGGAAGGTTAAACGGAATTTATCTTTTCGCCTCTCTCTCTCTTCCCTTCTTTTCTCTCTGTTTCTTGCTTTCTCTATTTTTTTCCTTCTATTTCTCTCTTTCTCTTCTCTTGTCTTTTCCCTCTCTCATTCTCTGTCTCTTTTTCTCTCTTTCGCTTCTCTTCTCTTTTCCCTCTCTCATTCTGTCTCTTTTTCTCTTACTATTCTTTTTCTTTATCTTTTTCTCCCTTTTCTCTTATTCTCTATCTATCTATTTATCCACCTCTATCTATCTATCAGTCTGTCAAACCCTCCCCCTCACTTCCTTCCCTCTCCTTCCCCCTCACCTTCACTCTCCCTCTCCCTCTTTGACCAAATATATTTATTCCCTCTCCCTCTCCCTACCCTCTCCCTCTCTTTACCCTTTCCCTCCCCCTCCTCTCCCTCTCCCTACCCTCTCCCTCTCTTTACTCTCTCCCTCTCCCCCTTCTCCCTCCCTTTACTCTCTCCCTCCCCCTATCTCCTTCTCTTTACCCTGTCCCACTCCCTCCTCTTTTTCTCTTTACCCTCTCCCTCTCCCTACCCTCTCCCGCTCTTTACTATCTCCCTCTCCCTGCCCTCTCCCTCTCTTTACCCTCTCCCCCCTCTCTCTCCCTCTCTTTACCCTCTCCCCCCTCTCCCTCTCCCTCAGCCCCCTTCCCCCCTCTCCCTCTCTTTACCCTCTCCCTCTCCCTCAGCCCCGGGCATCAGGATAACACAAGGAGCCTCACGCCAGCCTCCCCTCTCCGTCGGGTCTCCGCGCCAAGGACACCGTCTCGATCATACCTTAGTGGCGTACGTGGATGAAATCAGGGGCGTGGGTGATGCTATACGTGCGGCGGCCCGATCAGCTGTGGCATTGGACGCGACTGTTGACATCTGGCGTCAAGTTTCCGTGGCCGGTGGGGATTGTTTGTTGTAGGGTGGGAAGATGTATGTTTGATTTTGTTGTTTGTGTTTGTTTGTTTGTTTTTTGTTTGTTTTTTAGGTTTATTTTGATTTATAGGTCAGGGTTAGGTATACGTTTGATTCGTTCATTTCGCTTTTTCTCTCTTTCTCTCTCTCTCTTTTGCTTTCTCTCTCTCTCTCTCTCTCTCTCTCTCTCTCTCTCTCTCTCTCTCTCTCTCTCTCTCTCTCTCTCTCTTTCTCTCTCTCTTTTTAATGTTTCAGATTTCTTTAGTATATTCTTTGTTTCTCTCTCGCTTTCTGTCTATCTATCTCTCTTTCTCTCTCTGAGTCTAGTAGATAATGATGATGATGGTATTGATAACAGTGATAATGATAAGATGAACGATAGTTGCAATATTGATGACGTTGATAAGTTAATAATAATAATAATAATAATAA